TCCTGGTAGTGAAAGCACGCAGCAGGGAGCCTGTATGACTCTGCCTCTTATAATAGATTTAAGGCTTGTACGGAGTAGCTTGTGTGGAGTTTTAGGAGACTGTGTACACATGATACCTCCAAAGACACCATGCATATTTCTCCTCGCTCTCCCTCTCTCCTTTTAAATGTTATGCCGCCTGTGACCTCTCTATGTCCCTATAATTCTCCCCCTCTTGTGCAGGGGTAATAAGATTGATGCAGGTGGGAGATAATGAAATGCAAAAAAAAAAAAAAAGGGAGTGGTAAACTATTGGGGAGAGAAGAGGCAGTGATGGAGGGGACGGGGCGGGTAGAGTGAAGAAAAAGAAGGAAAAAGTGGAGAAAGATTGCAAGAGAGATTTTTTTTTTTTTGTCTTTTTCTGTTGATAAGCATTCCATTGAGTGCATAATCCGAGCTGAGTGCAGTTGTTGTATATCATAAAGGCAAGGGACACGCCATCTCCAGCACAGTAAATTACTGACATGCGGAGAGCACGGTGAAATAGCGAGTGCAGAGGAGGGGAGCACGGAGCCGAGGGGAGGTAATAGAGGGGAAACAAGAGGGGAGGAACAAAAGGCACTAGGAGTGGCAGAGAGCGGAGGCAAGAGGGGAGAGGAGGGGAGAGTACGAGATGGAGAGATGTGGGGAGAAGGCACTCTGATGTAATTAAAGTGGCCTATTTGAAAGGCTGCACCTTGCCCCTCATCCCGAGCCTCCACATGGAAGGTTTATGAATGCAGCAGAGATGCAGTGGAAGAGGTGCCAGAGCCACTGGGAGAGCTGCAGAGTGAGGTTATTAATTTGGAACACAAGTGCATCTGTGCAGCCCTTTTAAAACGTTTATTTGTATGACTAGCACTTGGTGTAGTGGAATCTGAATGTTAACTATTTCGGCTATCTGTTAGCCAGCTGCAGCCGTTTCACTCGAGACTTTAAGGTGAAAATTTCAGCCCTTTGTCTGCTACTTTTTTGCCAGCTTTTTTATCAGTTCATTCATTACTCGTAGCCATCGATCTTGATTACTCTTTGGTAACTGTTTGGACTTGTTGATAGATCTCCCTCCGGCAAGTATCTTGCGTGGTTGGAAATCGCAAATCTACTCCAACTTGTGTCCTGATTGATGGCGAGCAGCCCGGCAGAAATTTAGAGCAGAGTGTTTTTTTTTATAAAGCCAGACAGGATATGTATGAAATTGAATATGAAATGTCCTAACTTTGGACATTACCCCTTCTGAGGTCAGCGTTGTCCAACTAACTTTGCCATTGGTCGACAGCGTGAACGTATATGAGCCTTTCAAGTCGAGTTTGAAAAGCTTGTACGGAACTTTGATGTCCAACTTTGATCATGCCATTTCCATCAAACGAACTAAGAACAAAGTTGGCACGTCAGAGACGCTCGTCGGACATACGGAACTGGGCGAATGTTTTATGCAATGAATGTAAAAAGAAAGAAAGATTTCTAATATATATATGTACAGATTTTATGCATCGGTTCATCAAAGTTAGAGTAAACACAAAACGCAGATGTTTGGCGATACCACCCTTTGCCTTCTAGGTCCACTTTCACACTGGTTTTTTAGCAGACCTGGCACCTGGATCGTTCCAAACTTGGGGATCTTTAAACACTTCCTCTGTGGATTTAGGCAGTCTCCATTGATTCTGTCTCTTCACTTAGTCACAGACCGACTAGGTGGTGTTGAAATCGGGGCCCATGCCTTCAGTACTGCTTGTTGTTCTTGTCGCCAAAGATAGTTCTTGGGGTTGTTTTCCTGCTGTAGAGTGAATATCGGACTGACAGGACACCTTTTTGTCACCTTAGATGCCTCAAACATTTGCATAACGCTGCATATGTCGGGTTAAAAACTGCACCCGAGTCATGAGAGCGTGGCTTTTCCTTTGATGTACCAGAAACACAACATCTCAGATCGGCTCCGGTATCCAACACTTTGATGTGTGAATTCATTCTTTACCCAAAATTAAATGTGCAGGTAGCCACCAGCAAGGTTTACAGATAAAAGTTAATAGCTATTTCCTGAGTGCTGCTATCAATGGGATTATAAAGTGTGAATGTGTTTGTAAGGTACCGGAGTGCGATTTGGACTCCTTCCCTTTGAACTAGAATTACCATTGTTATTTTGAGACCTCCTCACTTATCTTTGCATGTGATGATCGCACCTTTTCTTTGTGCCGTAAACCACAACTAACAGCACAAAATGGCCTGAAACAAAGAATGCAGAGCTCAATCACACACTCAGCAGGGGAGGCAGAAACACAGAGGACCTCTCTTGCTCTGACAGAAAGAGAGGCTGCTTCAATCTCTTTCTCTCTCCCCCCCCTCTCCCCTGTCTTTTCATCTCCAGTGTGATTTGAAACAGCCTTTCAGGCCTCTATCGCTAATGTACCGAGTAGGCTCCCATTGTTAATGTTACAGTATTATGAGTTCCCTTTGTGTGTGTTTCTCTCTGCTCCCAGAGGACCGCACTGAAACCTGATAGGCGGTATAGGTTGGCAGTGGTGGGATCTCTTTATTTGTACTTTTCTTTAAAAAGGTAATTATGGAAATAATTCCTCTTTGTTTTCGCCTTTCTCTGCTGAGAGTCCAGTTCATAATTAATTGGTGGTGTGAAGGACCGGCCAATTTTAAATCACAAGGGAGGGGTCGAGGGGGGCTCGTTTTATTGGCTGGTGCCTGGATGGGGCAGTGGGCGGGTGGAGCATCTGAATTAGATTAGATTTAATTAAGGCATGGGGCCCCCTGACTACACACTGGTACATAAATAGGCTGTATGCCAGGCTGGTTGTTGTTGGGAATTCAAGACTGTGTGTGAGCACACTTAGACGCACACACACACACTGCAGAAGCTCCCCCAGGCCTTCAAGGTCAGGCAGGCAGAGGAAACAGGCAGCATGGTGTCTGGAAGGAAGAGAAAACAAGCTCAAAGCAGCACACTGTTGATAGCTTGTTGGTTTGTCCACACAAATAATCCTACACTGATAACCTCCTGCACTTTATGTACAAGAAAATAGGGTAAATAGAAGACTGCATCCAGGTAGCTTAGCTTAGCATAATGACTGGAAACAGAGGGAAAGTTCACTTTTGATTAAACCAATCTGTACTTTAAGACATTGCATTGTAGTGTAACAGGTATTTTGTTGATCAGATTTTCTTTAATCCAGTCTGGGAGTCTCACAGCATCACTTCAGGAAGTCGCTGCACTTCGAGAGCAGAAGCCCCACAAGCCCCATGTCTTCTAAAGCTAAGCTAACTAGTTGCTGTGACCTTTCCAGAAATATGAACCTTTAAGTACACACCGTGGCCCCTATCAGTGCATTATGTGAACTCCATTGCACATAAACAGAATCTGAATTGATCTGGTTTCAATCAGAAAGCGGATTTCACTTTTAGAAGCGTTTTCAGTCGGCGTCGCTTTGCAGATCATAACTCACTGCGAAAGGGTCACATTGGTTGACTTTTTGCAGAGCTCTGCACATTCAGTTTGATTCTCTGAAACTGTGTAGCTCTACCTTGTAAATGTGGGGGGAATCTCTATGCTGTGCTAAACACAATATCCCCCAAGAGTCTGTAAGTCTATATAAGCCTGGAATACTTCAAAAAGCTCCAGAAAGCCTTGCCTGCTTTGCAGTTTCTGGGGATCTAATCCTTACAGATGGAGGCATTTTCAGACTATTGATTCATGCTCATGATATCTTGTAATGGTCATTTCCTGGCGAGCTTTTCGGGCAATATCCTCGACTGTCCGAGTGATGGCTAGTGGACAGAGGTGGGGTTTTTTTTTATTTTATTTTTTTGGAAGATATTAGACTTTAATGGACATGGTCTCTAAGCAGCAACATGGAATCCTCGAACACTGAACATGGAAAGTGTTTTGAACTTTTTACGAGGCACACAGAGGTTTGATGTTTACTGCCCTCTGAGGCATTCGTGTAATTTGAACTGAAACAGCAACTGTAAAGTACTTTTATGTAGCTCGTTCCTCATTAGCACATCCTTTCCTTCTTCCCTATAATAAATAGGATTCCTTCCTTCCTCTCTCTCTCTCTCTCTCTCTCTCTCTCTCTCCTTAATACAACAGTACCGTCAGCCGGTGAGCTGAAACACCATTTACATGAGCCTCATCCCTGGTGCCTGATTGAAATTCTCACACTGTAATATCAGTCAGCGGAAATGCTTAAGTGCTATTCCCTCATCCTATCTGGAATAATAAGCTGCAGTGCTCTCTGGCACTACAGTAGTTCCCTTCCTCATTTCAGGCAGCGAGTTGGCTGCTCTGAGTTTGTAACTGCTGGCCACAGCTCTCATCGTGAACATTAAGTTCCCTGGACTCCTCAGTAGTTTGCAGACTCGCTCCTTCCCTGTGACAAACATGTTAATCTGTGACGGCCCCTGGTGTTCCTCCGCCTTCTCTCATCTTCAACTCACAGGGACTCGCGTTGCATTTTATCTTAAAAATGCTAAAAGCTGTTTTGCCCTCACAAAGAATTATTTAGCCTCTCTGTTCTTTCTCTTGCTTTCATGCTTGATAGTGGGCTACCAACTTGCGAACAGGGGTTTCAGAAGTAGCCTCTGCACGGGTGCAGGACGGCTGCTTGTTTTTCATCATCTCTTGGAGCTCTTGGGGAGCGTCTGACTGCTGTTATGCTTATTATGTAGAGCTCTCATCTCCAGGAGAGGCTGCTGCTATTGAATCAGACGGAATACATTTCAAAATGAACCTGAAAACAATTTACTCCTTGATATTCATGCCTGTTTCCTTCACTCCCTTCCCCATTCCCCTGGCTCTGCAGCTCCACAACTCATCTTCCTGCTTCTCAGCCTCCTATTCTCTTAAATTGTGTCCCTCTTCCTCTTCTTCTCCATCCTTCCTTCCCCTCTGTTGAGTCCCTCGCCACCACTCATCCTCCCTTTACCCATCAACCTACATCATACATGCTCAATTTGCTCTTCCTCTCCCCGCACAGAAGCACCCGGCCAGGACTTTGTGACGCTGGACTATCGCCTGCGATACTACCCCAGCATCACCTACGCCGTCATCGGCAGCGCCGTTATCTTCGTCCTGGTGGTGGCCTTGCTGGCCTTGGTCCTTCATCACCAGAGGAAACGGAGCGTCCTGCTGCCCAGAGGTGTAAGAGGGAGCTCACATCACCACCACCACCACCAGCCCCTGCTGCTGTCCCGTCTGGTCATCTTGGACCGGGGCCACGTGCATCCCGGAGGTCCGGGTCTGTCCAGCGGCTCCTCCACGGCAGCAGGACAGTACAGCTCAACTCCTCAAGCGCTACAGCTGCTGTCTGGGACCCTGTATCCCGCCGGACTCTCCATGGACTCACCTCCGTCGTACTCGCAAGCTGTTCTGGATGTCAGGTGAAGGGAGCAATGATTCTAACAGCTGGATGGGCATTTATCATATCATTATGTAAACAATGACTAAAGCAAAAGTGGAAACACAGGTGCTGAAAGTTGTCTTTGTAGCAAAGTATAATCTATTTATCACAGATATCTGTTAGCCACTGCTTCTGTTATGCTTTTGTGTAATTTGTAATGAACCACCATGTAATCCTTTAATCTGCTGGGTACTCATTTAATATAAAACATGAGGAAAGTTGCTGCTTCAAACCTGCTCATATATTATTAATGAAATTCTTTATTGGGAATATCCCCTTGAGATGTGCCATCTCATTTCCAAGGGTATCGGTAACAACAGTAGTACAATAAATGCATTACACAGTACAATTAAATAAGCAAAAATTTTAATTGCACACGCTATCTTACACAAAACATCTCTTAGTTAATTGCATTAAACTTTTACAGGATGCTGTTTTTAGCTTTTCTGTTTCTATTATGCAAATAGCAGTGACTGGATGCAGCTCCAGTTCTATGAGGACGTAGGAAATGGAACAGTGCCTGGTTTTTTATATTGTTGATACCGATGTTTTTAGAGGAGAAACCGCGACTCAATGAGGACATTGAGAGCTGGAGAAAGCTTGTTTTATTTTCTGAGTTCAACCAATCAACACTCGTCTTCTCCGAGTTAAACCAATCAGCATCTGGCATGTTTTTTGTAGGGCAGCTCAGGAGTACCTGCCCCGGAGTAGGAACTTTTTTCTTTCTTTAAAAATGACCTCGAAAGAGAGGCAGTTGGGAACAAAAGTTTAGGAACCCATCAGAAGAGAAGTACACTTGTACATCCGGAGTTCTTGGTCTTAGTTTTAAAAAAAATTAAATAAACACAATTGCACAATCCTTATGTAATCGCTCATGACCATAACATTGTGTGTTTCCTCTGTTTCTCCCCAGTCGGCCTCCCTGGTTTGATCTCCCTCCGCCTCCTTACCTCCCAGATGGAGAACTTCCGTCGGAGGGCGAGCTTCCTCAGTACGAGGGCCCACAGGACCCTCTGACTCACCCCACAGCTCATCCCTCTGCAGCCTCCACACCCAGAACTGTGGCCTCGGGCTCACAGCCGAGCTGCAGCTCCAGAGAGGAGTCGGACCAGCTGTAGCCACTCTCTAGCAGACTGGTGATACTTAGGACTTAGAGACTGCGGGACTTGAGGACCAGGCTGGAAGGCAGCGCGAGGCCAGGACAGCCCACAACGAAGACCTTGCTTGAGGAGATTCAACAAAGACTGAGAGACTGAACAGTGTCCTGGACTCGCTGCCCACACACCAGCTTACTGAAGCACTGGACTGAGATGAGCTCTTCCTGGGGGACCGAGCTTGTGCGTTGGCTCCCCCTGCTGGGATCACGGCTGAACTACAGCTTAATCATTCACACAGTCATTGATTCATTTCTCATTCTTTTGAATTGTACTCCCCTTGAAGAAGTACTGTATATGACCCCTACCAGTGACCACAACCTGCATCTCCAAAGAGTTCACATGCCATTTAATAATAGATTCATTACCATGCAACGTGGTAACATGAGTGTAAATGATGCTCTTCGTTATGTGACACACTTCAGCAGCACTTGGAGAACTTAATCAAAGTTATGCAGCATTTTTTAATCCTCCCCACTGTACTTTGCATTTTGAAAAAGTACACACTTTTCTACAAAGTTTGAGATTTTTTAAGTTTAAATTGTAAATTACCCAAATACTAGATGAGATCTGTATTGTTGATTCCTCGTACAGCATTTTAAAGAACATAACAAAAGCAGCTCAATCAGAGGTGATTTCCAGCTGTTTTCAGTGTTGATGTGAGATATGAACTAATGTGTCTAGTCAAAATTAGCATTTCACAACTTGTTTAATAGAGCTTTATGCTATAGGTATTTCTGAAACATCAGCGAAGCTTGTTTTCTTTTCAATTTTTTTTTCGATGTTTTTCACAGTATTTCTTGTCATTTGGTTAAATTCCAACTGAAAATGTGAAGAGGACCATTGAGACTTTATGAAATAATGCTGAGGAGGAATATTTACCTTTAGTGTCATGAATCATTCCTCGAAGTCAAAGAACCGCCTCTGCTGGCAACTTTTTTTTTTATATACATTTCTGTCAGACGACCAATCATTTGTTTATGTACACACACACACACAACAAGAGCAAGTACAAAGGATTTTTGTTGAGGCCTTATTCTGTGCTCGTGCCTTTGCATGTGATGTGAGATTCAACCGTAAGCTCACAACCATTAAGGATATTTTGTCTTTTAAAGTTCAAAGTAACGCCTGTAACTGTGTGTCATTCAGACAAAAATCATCCTGTGTAGTATTAGACGATGACTGATGAAATGCCTATCTGAAGGATCTGTGTCTGTTCGTTCATTTCAAAGTGGTTTGTTCAACACTGTACATAGGGGATATTGAAAGTAAAGAGATCTATTTAAAGTAGAAAGCTACTCAGAGTTTAACGTGAGAGATGAATGTGTAACGATGAAATGTAGTTGTTGTTCTTTGCATCTTACTTTTCTTGCAGAGCCTGCAGTGACGACGCAAGAAAAAACAATCAAACCAAAGATAATCATTATCAAACTTTTCCCCAAGGATGTTATCCCCCCGCAAAAGGAGCAATTATGTGTTTGTTCCTTTATTATATTAAAAAGTGCAAAAGGTTTATAGACTGAATTCATGCTATTTGCTGTAGAACTGGAAAACATTTCTCAGGATGAAATTATGCTAGTCTGTTGTTTATGTCTTGGTTTTGTTTTCAGAAACACTTAAATTTAACTTCCTTTTTTGTTTTTGTTTAGCTATTTACATATTTGTGAGGTTGCCCGCGATGATCTTTTTATCTCCTGTATTCTGTACATTTGAAGTAATATAAATTTTCCGACTCAGATTTTGCGTGTTTGACTTTTCCTGGCTCTCATATTACATTTTCTCGGCAGCTTATTATATTGTCAAAACATGTTTGTTGCAAAGTCTGGAGCTGCTCTGCCAGACAGACGAAGCTTTGATGAGAGACTCGCACATAATACAGATTTAGTCGTGCAAAAAGCCATCTGGGTTTATGCTGTGGGTAGGAATGGAGGAAGTCTTCAGACAGTGAGAGGAACACAAAACAATGTAAAAATAGAATTACTATGAGTAAAATGTACCAAAAATTGAGTGTGAGGAAAGAAAAATTCTCTATCTGGCCCAACTGTGAGGCATCTACATCATTGGATGACATTGGACTCTGCTTTTCTTTAAATAGCACCATATTTTACACCCTTACGAGATGTTCAGGTGCAAAATCTTAATTTGCGAAGTGTCTATGTCTTTCAAATATTTGCAGAAGAGTAAAAAGTGCAAATTGTCCCTCTCAGTTTTAATGGTGTCCCCGCATAAAGTAGCATAAAGTGCAGTACTTGAGTAAATGTACTTACTTTGCACAACTGAATTGCTGTAATCGTTTCATTCTCTCCTTATGTGAAGCACTTGTCAAGAGACAGTTAGGGGAAACCCAAAGTAATTATCATTTAGCTGGGAAGCTCTTTAATCCAGAAGTACTCGCATTTTCCTCCCATTCATTAATGTTGTATTATCTGTAACGGAGCCGTGCAGTTCTGCAGAGTGGCCAATAGATGTCACCGTGTCCCCATTCTGGACGAAGCTCACTGCAGGATGGTTCAATTTGCAAAATTGATTTCTGTCCTGCCACATTGTTATACATGTCAAACACTGGGTTTTGTGTGTGCTGTCAATCAAAGCAGCTATTCATGCTTTTTTTTTTTTTAAAAGGACATTAGCATTTAAACTTATATCTTCATGTATCCTGTATTCATGGCAACTATCTACATCTCTTACACATAGTTTAGTGAATACATAAACAAGCATTATCTCACCAGCTGCCCCCCATTTTCTTTGTAATATCCACCCGGTACCCCGAATCTCATCGTGCCCCTCCCGCCCCAATATCCGCATCGCATTATGATACATCAGATAGCATGCGATACCATCTCTGACAGCACTCACCCGTCCCCTTGCCCGTCCTCCCCATCGCTCTACCTGCCCCTCGCTTCCTAAATAGTCTTTTATCCCGCTCTGCTCATCTTCTTTTATCTTCCCACTCTCGCCCATCTTTCATTTTCATCCCCCTCACCCCTCCTCGCTCTTTTGCATTTTTTTTTCTCTCTCTCTCTCTCCCTCATCACCCCACTCTTCTTTACCTCATCTTAAACTCTGATGCTGGAGGCCCATGTTTGCTTAGCCCAAGCCCTTAACTACACAGACTTTAATTAAAAGCCTGCACACTTCTCTTCTGCTGTCTGTCCTCGTCTTTTTCTGCTTAGCAGCTGGTGAACTGGCAAGAATTTCTATATACGCTGCAAAAACTAGTATGTTGCTGGATCAGTGGATGCTGTCCTTTGAGTTATGTTAGGTCAGTGGGCCGGTGGGTACTACAGCCGACAGTGATGCCAACAATGACTGCAAGAGGAGTCACAGCGGTGGCTGGATTGGCTGTTATGATACCAGCGAGGAAGGTGGTGATGTTAATGTTCATGTAGAGGATTATTGTTACCAGATATTCCAAGGAGATGGAGCAGAGACACTAGGCTTCCTCTCTTGGGGGTCTTTCATTGGGCATTACCGTAGCCGTCAGCTATTGGATACAGTACAAGTGCGATAAAGCTGGCTAATATCCCACTGACAATAAAGACCTTTATTCTTTCTGCTAGTTATGAATGAGACTCTTGAGGTTACTGTACATTTATTTCTTCATGCAGTTTCAGATAACAAATCTCTACAGCAACCAAAAAAAGGGATGAAGGAGGGATAGAAATATAGATTTAGCCACACATTCACTCTCTCTCAAGGCCACTTTCCCTCACACATATACGAACATGCACACTCGCTTGGCTGTTGTACCATTGCTCCAGTGAACTGGAGATAAGACCCAGTGTTTTCACATGTAAATGGTGCGAGCGCGGAGGGGAAGGAGGGTGTATTGTTAGCATGGAGCAGCTCTGAGGGGCTGTGAGGAGCTCTGCTGAGGGTTTGGCCAGTGCGGCCCTTATCAGATGAAGAGCAGGCCTCCGAGGGAAGGAGGGGTCGGCGAGGGACAAGGGCTGGGTAGGGTTGAGGGGGCCAACGGGAGAATGGAACAGCTGGCGGAGTCACGCGTGCAACCCCAAAAACACACAGAGCCCAGACACGCTGAGCACGGTGGGAATCTCCTCAACTAAGAGATTCACAAACACACGGCCTCTTGTGTTATTATCAGCCACCAGCCAGCAAGGCTGAGCACATAATCACACACACAGCAGCAGGAAAAGAGGAGCATTTCACACAATCACGGACACACACATGCACAAAAACACAATCACTGTGGCCAATCACAAATACACATTTCCATACAGGCGTCTTTCCACACCATTAGGTTGACACACACAAACTGAAAAAAAAAAGGACTCTGGTCACCCTTAACACACAGATAGCTAAATCACCATTCACAAAGTGGCTTTTTTTCACTGAATGAGAAAATCAGCAGTAATTTCTCCTGCCACCTGGTTCCAGATCCCTGGTTTTGCTCCTGGTAACACATGACTGTGAACCCCAGAATGGGACAGATTGAAGTATGTGCATTTGTCCGGCTTATCTATGAGTTTGTAGTCATTCTTTCACGCCAGTAGCAGCACTACCAATACTGATTTTGCACATCTGACAACAAATGGTACATATTTCTTTCCTTAATCAGATGATGTCACAATCTTAGGATTATTAAAGACACAGTGCATAAGATGAAAAGGCCACGCAATAATATTAATCGGACGTGTTCATGATGCACAAGCTTAAAGGTCTCGTGCCATACAGCCTTAGAAGCTCTAAGTGGTCAGCTGATTAATACATTTTATCACTTTTGCAGTTTAACATTGACGATATTACATCCCCTCTAAAATAGCAGAGCTGTCATTAAGTCAGTCAGCATACCGATAGAAACGACAATCCCCTCATATGTATGCATGTATGCGTATATATGCATAAGTCAGATCAGCCTTAGCAGCTGAAACAGTAACACTTCCCTGCTTAAGAATAGACCGGGGTGTCGGCTCTTGTCCTTTCCATTCAGGCCAGTGTTAAACACACAAACTAGCATGCTAATGGGTAATCCCTGAGGACCAGCCACCTTTGTCCCAGCCCTAAGAGGATGTCTCTCTCTGGGCACTGGGTGACAGCCACCAGGCTGCCTGCTACTGGACAACCAGCATGTTGCCAGATAGTGATCTCAGTCCTCCAGAGGGATGCCAGCAGGTTGCCAGGCCCTGATTGGTATCTGATGGGCGGAAGATTGGCGACTGTCCTGTATCTCTTTTTGTTTCTTCCCTATCTGTGATGCACCGGGAGGATTCATTGGACAGGAAAGTGAAAGTCTGACGTCGGAGAGTTTTGTCACGCTGCAGGTGGTCTGCATGCGTCAACAAAGAGCTCCAGTTAGTCAAAGGGTCTACAGTAGCAGAGGTATGAGGCTGCAACTTTTACTGCTTGTCTTAGAGCCCCATTCAGCGGCCTCAGCAACAACCCAAACAGGCTTTGAAAACAAATAATTGGTTTACAAGATAAAGGAGCAGCAAACACTGATCCTGCTGCTGATAAGGTGATGTTTCTTTTTGCAATTACCTGCCAAATAAGAAGAAATTCTCAATTTGAAGTAGAAAGGGGGGCTGATTTTTCATGCAAATCGCTGAAAGGTGTTCCTGGGGTTGCAAGCTACTTGTCTGCGCCGCTCTATGGATTAGGACATTCCACGATGCAAGGTGGACAGTGGGAGAGGGAAGCGGGTCCAGGAAAAGGCTGTCACTGATTTGCTGAGAGGACATTCCACAGTGCAAGGTGCAGCAAGGAGGCCAGTGGAGGAGGTTTTAGTCCTTTTGGGAATACTCGCATTAACTAGCTCTGATGATGTGATGAAGCAAACAGGAGGATGCTTCGGAGATTACGCAAGACACAGGAGCAAGAGGGGGACCAGAGTGAAGCTTCAGAATTGATGACAGCATCACACAGCGCGTGTGTGGTATTATACGCTGTCGGCCAAGGGATGGTCATATGATGATTATTTTAAACAATTTATCCAGCCCTGGTTCTATACTGTCTATGATGAAATATTGTGGCCTCATCCCAACTCTGTACCCTCATCTGTCTTTTCGCCCCAAGAGAACTGAGCTCCACATACAGCAGCACCCAGTATGCGTGCACACATACACTCGCTACATGCACACGCACACATACAGGCAGTAGACAGTCTTTAGCCTCATTCCTTTAAAAAAAAAAAAAAATCATACTTACATACTTAAGCACAAACTTTCAGATGTATGCTGATGTGTATTAATTTTGCATTAAAAAAAATATTTGATTTTTGCATCATTTCTTGCAACAGTGGACAACTTGAAAACGGATCTGCTTACGTTGGACTTTTCTTGCTAATTCATCAGGGTATCTCACCCCCCATGATGCTAAGAAGCTATTCTTCTCCCCCCATATATAGCATCCTCTGAAACAACTCCCCACCCGCAACAGCATCCTCATCCCTTCACCACACTCCTTCACACCAAGCACCCTTCCCCCAGTTTCCATCCACACACTCTTTCAAAAATAAGAAAAAAGACGGCAGCATAGAAACCGTACACCCCCAGCCCGTGTCCCTCTACCACCCAGGGCCACCCCATGCCTCGCACGTTCCTCTCAGACAGGGAGCACGACACTGGGCCCCTCTATTCCGTTCTTTGCTGTGCTTACCCCCCCACCCCACCCGCTTTCCGGAGCTCGTCCATGCCCCCCGGTTCCATCCATCATATCTGCCCCCCAGTTTCCATCATGTCCCCACAAAGGCAGCTAACCCAAAGAAAAGAAAAGGCCCAA